TGCGCAGGTTGTAATTTGAAATCATCGGGTTAATTAGCTATGTTGAAAATAAGACTTTCCAAACTTGCAGCTTGCTTTTAACCTGATAAATGGCACACATGTGGCACGAACACATGGCAATTTCGAATGTTTTTTATAACAAGTTTAGTGACACGAGTACAGCAAATTTAGTTGTCAAACATGACAACTTTCTTTTCGGATGGCAAGTTTAAGTTGTTTTTTGGGCTTGTTTTTCTTTTCCTACAACAATCTTAGATGTAACTAGTAGAATGCCCGTGCATTGCTACAGGCTACAAGACATATAAGTGAATGAAACAAATAATGGAGAACGTCAGGTCATAGCTCATTCCTCTATCCTATGTCCGAGCGTGTTCAGTGGGTTCCCCAAAATTCAGCCCATATGTGAGGGAGGAATACGGTTGTCTGAACTATCCGCTATGTTATCTCGAACACACGGTCCAACACAAAAACCCCACCCATGATACACCCTTTTATTTTCCAATCGTACCCTGCCGTTTAAACAACATTTCTTGCTGGAGCTCCCTCCTTTAAAACCGGATGACACCATCTCTCCTTCACATCGTACTTCCCCACGGACCGGCAAGAATTCCCCAACCAACTGCCCCGCTCCCTGCCCTGAGCCCCCCCCCCCTCCCCCAATGTTTGTGTCGATCCGCCACCGCCATCAAGGAGGTGTGCACCGCTAGTGATGCCCCCGAACCAAGAAGGCTGATCTGATGTCCTGAAACCATCTAAAAGATAATAAACAAAAATCTAGTTGAAATTTGCATGGATACAACAATGAAGAAAATATAATGAACAAAGCGAAAGTTTAAAGCGCACGCCAAATGAACCGTTTGTGTGAGGCTCACATGGCGATTTAAGCTTATTGTTGCAATTCTAATATATGAGAAGTGCAAAATTTAGATGTCAACTGACCAAAAAAGGGACGTTCAAAACCCAATTTATCATTGTACTTGCATGCCACTTTAAGCATAAATAAACACTGAGATAAATATCAGGCACAATTTACTAAAAGTTTTGATAACTAATCTATATGATACAAAATATCTTCATAAGATCGGAAATAGCCAAACTGGACCCATTTATGAAACAACCACAACCTGCTATCAAGAGCGCGGAGAAAACAAACAAAAATTGTACAAGATAAAGCTCATATGGGATATTTGCCCGATTTCTCCTCCCATAGCATGACCATGACATGCATTTACACTTCCATGTATTCTTAATACATTTCTACCACAGTTAGAGGTATCATTCAAAACACAACATCATCAATTTCTCAAGGGTATTCACTGAAGGCGGGAGTTTTTTTTTAGCATTTTGCTGAACATTCCGCATGGAAACATTAGAGAGGTTGGGAGTTGAAAATCGAAGGGAAACCTTTGCACCTGTTGTGTTCTCGCTCACACTCAACTGGGCCTGTGGGTTGAAGAAAAAAAAATCAAACTTAAACATAAGCAACAAAATGACGACAACTTATAAGAAATGGAAACGTAAGGAAGCACATACCTACATGCCTAAACAGAATGTAAGACGCAATTGCACTATGATTTACTCATGATAGGGACTTAAGAAAGCACAACAATCAGGTGAAAGAGGCAACATCCCCTGTTGAAGTCTTTGATGTAGTTTAGGCCCAACAATAATAATCCAAACATTCACATCAAATTTGAGGTACTACTGACAAAACATTATATACTTAGGGGTAATAATTAGATCCATCTCTCTCTCTCTTTCTCTCTCATCTCTCTGAATTTAAACATATACTGTATAACCATTTAAATAGTCCATCTCTCTCTCTCTTTGTGTGTGTGTGTGTGTGAATAGATGACACTCAAGATTAAAGAGGAAGCCTAAGTCTGATGTAAAGAGTACTGATACAAATGATTCTGCTGAGGTCTCTCAGCATGTCAAAATGTAGGCAATAGCCCGTGCGTTGCAATGGGGGATAGAAATTCTGGCGGTTACCCTTTTCCAGACCCTGCGCAAGCGGGAGCTACATGCACTGGGGCTGCCCTTTTTTTTCAACACTAATCATGTTAACATATGTTTTTTCTATTTCTTCTTCCTCTTCCGCACACTATCTTCACCTCCTAGGCCCAAGATTTCGACCACCCTCAATGGAACATCGTGTGCTGAATATAGTTGCAGCGGTTCATAAGACTAACATAATATAGGTACTCAAACCAGCATCAGTTATGATGTGACACATATGATGAGCAATCCAAACTATTCAAAAAAAAAACTCACAACCAAAATCGCACGTCCCAAATCGCGTAACTCGGGAAGGCCTGAGCATGCGGGTCGTTAGCTCCGCACAGGGACACAAAATACTCTAAAAATAAGAGTATAAATTCATAAAATGGATATGTAGAATTTAGTCAATAACTAGAATAATATCCGTGCATTGCAACGAGATATAAATTTTCTAGTACGTTAGTTTGTGATTTAACTATCAATATTAATGCAACTGTGCAAGTAAATGTTCATCAAATTCTAACCATGAATTGCCTTATATTTTGATTAGAAGTTTGGTGAGTAAATTAAAATGGAATCGGTTCAAAAGGAATATAAATTAAGGTGATTGATTATCATATACTACATGTACATGGAAGGTTGGACGTAGGAATAGTGGGAAAAAAGATGAAATGGGAACCTTACATTCTTTTTAAGTAGTAGAGATATTAATAGAAAAGTTCAAAATAAAGCATGTCAGCAAACAGATGCACGTAGGAAAAGGCTTGGTAGTGTTCATTTCATCGAAAAGTCAGCACTGTTTGTTAGAAACAAGGTTACAGCAATGCAAGTTCACAACCATGCACGATGCCCTGACACCAGAAATGGAGGGCACACATGAATGTAGTACTGTCCGGTTAAATACAATGCAAGTTGCAATATCTTGTTCATTAACTTTATGTGGTGTTAGCAAGTAAAAACTTTCTGAATTATCTACGAAAATGGCTAAAAGGGACAGAAATGAACCCTTACGGATGTCACTCATCGGTGACTTCATCACGGCACGATCAAACTGCAGAGGCTTTATTAAGTGGCAACTAGAACGTCCAAGTAGAGAACGGTGAAAAAGATTTCAAAACTTTCCTGGTCAAAATGCTCATTACTGAATTACAAATGATCCTGCACGGTACTAGTTACTCAACAAGGCTTCCCAATATGTCCGGCTAAACTAAAGCACCGATTCCAAGAGTGTGGCAACGCTCTATTGATCCTGACGAACGGAATGCAATCAAGCAGTCTTGGGCTTGGGCTGAAGTCTCTTCAGTTGTGAGTACAGGAAAACTCCCGCAAGAGCGATTGCGGTTCCTACAGACAAGGCATTTCAAATATGTAAAGAGGATGTGATACGATCGATAGAACGCACATGAAAAACAGGTGCTTACCGATAGAGTTGATTGGAGACACAGGAGTCTTGAAGAACAGAACAGATGTAACAATGACCACCACACGCTTGACGCAGTTACCTACCGAATGGGTAACTGGTGACACCCTTGCGAGGATCATGTATGACACCTGCGATGAATCCGAAGACAAGTAAGAATATTTGGGTAAGTACAGAAGTGCCTAGCTTCTGAACACATGTGCTGGGCATGTGCTACACATATGCATATACTGATACATGACCTGGCATAAGTTTCAAACTATTCGAAACCAGAAACAAAATTTATTGATCAAAGTAGATTCTAACAAGACGAACCATCACACAACAGAAAACTGAATAGATAGCTGACCTGTTGGTATGCATGGAAACAGAATGCGGCAATCAAAGACCTTGTGTACACTTGTTGTAAGTTCAGACCCTGCACAGGAAAGAACATAGTAAGAATTCAAACAAGACAGTGTGCTTATACGGTTGAGCGGACAAATAAACAGTGGATACTCACAGCAGACTGCAGATAAGTAGGAGTGACCTTGACACCTTCTGTCAACAAGGTTACAGGGGCTAAGAGGAAGAATGACATGACTGTAATAATCGAGAAGAGATTGATGTTGTCCAGAGATGCCTGGTCAGAGTTTGGGGAAATATGAAGGTTAGTAATAGATTTGTATACAGTCATGGGGAAAGACTGAGAGGCATATCTTCAAATATGAGAGTAGCATATCAATTACTAACCCCTCCATTCACAAAAAAGAAAAGAAAAGAATTGCAGACACCCCCAAAACACGACTTTGACAAATTATCTCTACTGTAATACTTCAACAGTACCAACTAAAATAACATTATGATGATACTTTTCGATATTAATATGCACATATAATTTTCATGTGTCCAATGTAAAAGTTCATAAAGATGACCATAGTTGGGCGTACATAATCCAAGAGAACTGTAAATTGATGAAGTGATTCATAATTAGAGAGAACTGAATATTGTTATTCAGTTACAGCTATCCAAGAGAACTGTAAATTGCTAGCTTAGTTAGAGCATTACTAGTAGAGCCCTCAAACCCTCAAACCCCTAAAAATAACTGCTTTTTTACAGT